AAGAGGATGACAGTGCACCACGCATGAAAGCCCGTTGGTGCCTGCAGGGTCATTTGGACCCGGACCTCAGTGAAAAGGCCATGCATGGAGACTTGCAGAGTCCCACCCTCAGTCAAGTCGGCCGCAATATGTTGTTTCAACTGATAGCATCACATCAGTGGAACATGGCCCTGGGGGATATAAAAGGGGCATTCCTAGCTGCAGGTAACCTTCCACAGAGATATCGTCCATTGTACGCCAGCTTACCCCGTGGGGGTATCCCCGGAGTTCCTGAAAATGCCTTGATTGAGATTTGTGGACATGTGTACGGACTTAATGACTCTCCGGCCGCATGGTACAAGAAGCTCCATCACGAACTCATTCAAGTAGGCTTTGAACGGTCTCGTTTCGATTCGTGCCTGTTTTATTTCAGAGAACATGGGGTTTTGACTGGTGTTTACGGTGTCCATGTGGACGACTGTGTGACTGGGGGAAATGGACCAGGATACAACCAAGCCATTGACCGACTTCGCAAGACGTTTGAGTTTAGGAAATGGCGCTTAGGTTCAGGTGACTTTTGTGGTAGCCAATATGAACAAGACCCACAGACTTATGAAATCACCATGAATCAGGAACGGTTTTCCCAAAAGATTCGACCTCTCCACCTCAGTCGTGAAAGAGCTAGAAACAGAGATGCACCGTTAGATCCAAAGGAAATCAGCTGTTTGAGGGCAATCAACGGCAGTCTAAATTGGCTGGCTAATCAGTCGAGACCAGATTTGGCCACTCAAGTGTCCTTTTCCCAGCAAGCGTTTCCGACACCGACGGTGGGAGACGCCATCGCTGCAAACCATGCAGTGAGGAGGGCTAAGCAGCACGCCGATCAGTCCATTCGCTTTTGCGCAATTCCACCTGAGAACCTTGGACTGATGTGTCACTCAGACGCTGCTTTCGCCAATGCTAAGGCTGGTGCGACTCAAGCAGGTTACATGGTGAGCTTTGTTCATGAACATGTCAATCAAGGAATGGATTGCCAGTGGTCACCTGCCTTTTGGAAAAGCTCTAGGTTACCAAGGGTCGTAAGCTCCACTCTTAGTGCCGAGGCTCAAAGTATGTCAACCGCATCTAGCATGTTGGAATGGGCAAGCCTACTTATGTCAGAAGCTTTAGATGGTCCTAGATGGTCACATAGTTTGTGGGAGGGATTAGGCAACCGATTGATCATGTTAGTCACGGATTGCAAATCGCTGTACGATCATCTCACATCCCAATCATCACCGACTCTCGATGATAGAAGAACAGCAATAGACATAGTGATTCTCCGTGACAGCGTCCATAGGTTGAAGGCAAATCTGCGGTGGATTCCCACCAACCGCATGCTTGCCGACTCCCTCACCAAAGAGAGCCCGGAAGCTTTTGACCTGTTACGTGCCTGCCTTAGAAGTGCTAAGTACCAGATCAGCCCAGAAGAGCTTGTCCTGGAACGAAGAGCCCTTGAACGTGAGCGAAGAAAACAATTCGCTTCCAAGCCGACCGGTGATTCGAGCACCATAAGTCAAGGGCTAGAGCAAGAAGGATAATCCATAGAATACACAATCTAAGACAGTCTAGTCTCAAGGGTGAATGCGAGCATTCAAGAGTGTTGACTGTAGGGTGCATTGTGTTGGATTCTCGAATCGTCGGTACACCCACCTGTGAAAGCAGTTGATGTGCATGTTTTTGTTGATGTCTTGTCAGGACGTGATAGAACATGTCTGGTAGAGGCCTCAAATTAAGTTAATATTTCAGACTACACCATGTGTCATCCACCGTGGTTGTGGATCCAGGATTCCCCAACCGGAGCGTGATAGCACCGGGCCGTTTGTTTGTGACTTTCGATCAAGTGTCATGGCTATGACCAGCTCCAAGGACGCCTTCTCTCAGGCAGAGGCGGAGGAATGTCTCCACCTCATTCGGAAGGCTCGTAAGCACGGTGCTTTTGACAACATCATGCGCCGGGTTCGTGACCTCGAAGATGTAGAGCTGGATGAAGCTTGGCTTGGCACGCCAACCGGATCCATGACGGATGGCAGCAAGAGGCTTCGAGAGGATTCGTCAGTGAACCAAGTCGGAATGTATGTGAAGCAGACCACGCCATACTGTGCAGGCCAGCTTGTTCCGGTGCCACCTATGCCATCATCCTCAGACAAGCCGACTCCTCTGCCAACGACAGAAGGCCTGCCACCGGGAGTGGCCAATGTGACTCAGTGGGGCAAGACGCTCGTAGCATTTGGACGCTACAAGGGCCTCAAGTCGTACGATGAGATGTACGAAGCCACGGATTCAGAGATTGCTGGATATCGAGCGTACTGTCATTCACACTACCAGTCCGGCTCTCCTGGCCTTCGCGATTTGGTCGAGTACTTCCGAGCTCGAGGTGACGGATCCATGGGAAGTCAAAGCATCATCCCAGGATCGAAGATCACTCGGACGTACAAAAATATTTAAGAGGAGTGTTGATCGTCAGTGGTCGCGACTGTGCAGGGACTCTCATGCCCGAATGGCGGAAAAGGCCGCGCGGGGCGCGGTGCGGGGCTACCAATATATATATATATATTATGCTCGTATATAGCTCAACTGGTGAGGTGAGGTGGAAATTGGGCATATTGAGCTCATTTGAGCAGCATTCCAAATTCACCCTTTCATTTTTAGTCAGGGACCGGCGAAAAATCAGTGAAAACAGTGAATTTAGTTGATGTTTGTAAGGTGTCCGCAAGGTTTCCCGTACGGATACGCAGATTTGAACGATGCCGTAAGGCTACCGGAAGCGAAACTTGTTTACTTTGATTCTGTTTCCTTTCCTGTTTTGCAACAACAAACCACATGTTACCACAGTGGACTTGCATACCTCCGCCTTAAGCACAACGTAAGAATAGCCATGCATACATGTGTAAGCAAAACATAGATAAACGTAAGCCTTGCGTAAGGCCTACCGTAAGGTTTGATTTCTCGGCAAGAAAAGACAACACTATTTTGAACACCGCTCATTTGAACGCACACTCCTTCCAGGTCCAAACCTTTAGTGAGAACATTGGCTTAAAGATCATGTGAAACCAAAACTGATGCCAGCTCGGTTCGGAACAGTGATTTCAGTGCCGCATTCATGTTTAAAGGTGGAAGAGCCAGCCTGAAAGAGAAATGTTGCTGCCGCTGCTACAGCTTTCTAGTTTGCGGAGTTTTTGAGTCTTGGCTCAGCGTTTCAATATGGCAGTCTCACGGGTTCGCAGTCGGGCACAAGCTCAACCTAGCTTGGAACATGCTTGAACTCCTTCCTGCCTTCCTGGACAAAGACAAACAAGAATAGATGATCAAACGGGCTATTGGAGAAACAGTATGGCTCACGCTGTAGTGAGAGTTTGTAGATCCAGGCTTCATAGTCATTTTGCAATTCAGGATTGAATCCTGCTTGTTTCAACGCGCCGTACTGTCCAAGGTTTTTGGTGTTCTATTGATCGTCATGGGTGCTATGAAAGACCTCACTCTCTCCGGTGCTTCAGATGATTGGTCCTTCACGTGGGGCTTCGACTCGACTGGAAAAGGGATGCTGGCGCTAGTCATTGGATGCTCGGTCACAGTGTGTGCCTTCTTCTTCTGCTGCATACCTATTTGCTGTGCAGAGTGTGCCAGCTCTGAGATGCGCCATGCTTGGGGACAGGAAAGCAGAAAATGCCGGCGATGGTGCGCATATAAGTGCTGCTGTTGCTGCACAACTTGCTTTAACTGCTGTAACTTCTGCTGCGAGCATTACTGTTGCTGTTGCTCGCAAAGGCGGCGAGACTCAGAGACAACCAACACCGACTATGTGCCGAGAACAGATCCCTATGCTGTTCCAGAGGTTCCTGAGATGGTCGAGGTGGGGCGTCCCGTTGAAATGAAAGCAACCGCGATATAGCTTCTCTTCAGAGTTTTGAGCTGCCTGGACCTAGAAAGTGTTGACGCAAAGCGTCTTTCACTTACTGTCCGACAGCTTTGGGTTCTTTGAATCGATCACGAACAAGAAGTGGGTAACGGATGGTAACGGTAAATAAACGGGGTCCACATGTGTCCACTAAGTCACTAAGCCTTTAGTGTAGTGACGTTGTTTGCTGAAGGCCCAAGACCAGGACAATTTCTGCATGGCTTTCCGAGCAGACAAGCAGCTCCAAAGCAGAATCAGGCTTCCAGGGTCGACTCAACACGAGCGTGCAAGGCAGTGGATTGTTGTGGATTTTGCACCACAAATTGATCCGGCATGCAACATGTTGAAAGCAGCTTATTTGGTGTTACTGTTACAGTACTTTATATACATTCTCGTGAGTCAATCCTCGCAAGTGTAAGCTTTCTCTAATTATGACCATTTGGACTTGGCCAGAGTGAAACATGCTTTGGCAAGAAACTGTAGATCACAGGCCTTCAAGAGCCTCAGAAGCAATGCTCCAAGCAGAAAGCACAAAATGACAGGATCGGAACGATCCTGATCCAACAGTTGCGAAAAGGTGTCTTTCGCATTGCGCTTGGAAGAGATGTGCTTTCTATGTACAAAGCCCCAGCAAAATGCACGGGCCCTAAAGACGTGCTTTCTCACCCCCTAAAGGCCTTAAAGACAGTGCCAAGGTGAAAACAGTGTGGGGGACAGCGGCTACAGTTGGTATGTTTTTCTCCAGAAGAGTCAGATGATTCATTTAGACTTGTATCATATTGTGTGTACAGTAAATGTTACGATCGTCAAGCTTGTCTTTTTTGGATGTTTCAATCATGTTGTACTTATATAATGAATATACATAGGGGATAAGAACTGAGACTGCGATGACACGATTGTCATACTGTTTGGCAGATGATGGAAGATGCTCGACAAGCATGAAGTCAAGAACACAGCTACTTTTCATGCCAATCACGCAATAGTGAAAAGAATGAACGGTACAGACACTTATAACTTATAAACGAGCAGTGAAGACAATCATTTAAGTCTCAAGCAAGAGCCTGTCCACAGACTACTGTTGGAGGCCGGAGCTGTTTTACCTTTGGTGGAGCTGCTTCGTGAAACAACAGCTCCTGCAGTACAGGAGGTGCGCTGCCAGCCATGTGGTTTCTTTGCGCATCAAGTGATTGGCTTTGGTCAGGAGAACCATTGAATCACATCCTCATTGATGCTGCATTGTCCCTTTGTTGTTCGCTTTTTCGATCGCTCAGTTGCCGAGGCGGCAGCCGCAGCTCTGGGCATTCTGTGTGCCGATGGCGAGGCGGCTCAGTCCACGTTGCTGCGTGCCGGAGCAGTGCCAGCTCTGGTGAGGCCGCTGAGACCGTGTGGATCGTCCACAGGTTTTGATCATATTTGATCTACCCGGAATCTACCCAACGCTTAAGGAAATGGGGTCTTTCTGTATGGATAGACAGCAGTCTTTGTTTGAAGAGTCTCTTTTTTGGTACTCAAGGGTCATGCCCAAGACCCAAGAACCAAGAAGCTAAGGTCTATAGTCTCCTGAGGTCTCCCCTTGTTTTCTGGTTGGATGAGGTCTCTCCTTGCTCCTAGTAGCGTTCTTGTTCCTAGTAGTACGGCCAGGAGCCCCTAGTAGCGTCCCTGCTCCTAGTAGCGATGCCCTTTGTTACTAGTAGCGATGCCCTTGCTCCTAGTAGCGTTCTTGGTTCTTCTTTGAAACAGAAGATGTTTTCATTGAGCGATACCTCCGAGAGGCTTTTGGGCTCCGATGCCTCCGTGCCAAGCTCAGGGTCCTTCGCCAAACGAGCGCTGATGCTTGCTTCAGCTTTGGACGTCTAGCATTGTTCTTTCTTGACCTCAGCTTGCTGAACTAAAAAGCTGAGAATGTATGGCGCCAAGATGTGCTCAGAGTATTCACACCTTGAATTGTTTCAATATGTTTCAATTGTTTCTCTCACATTAACATACACCCTTTTAGCATCAACATGAGAGGCAACGAAGAAAACAACATAGAAACAACTACGATCAATACACAAAGCAAGCTGAAAGAAGAATCCAATGCGGTGCTGAAGTCAAAGAACATGAGACACGTCTTGACATGTCTTGACGTTTGTTTTTTCTCACTTAGCATTTCTTATGTGTTAACGTTGTCAGCTTCACGTCACCGTGTTAACCTTGTCGACCTAATCGACCTTGTCCTCTCGCGTCATCCACGGTCATGTCATGTCCTGTCCACATCGCCTAGACGAGGCCTTGAGGCCTTATGTCATCAAGATTTTGTTTCAAACATCTTCAAACTATGTCACCAATATCAATATACAGCACAATTACCTCACCTACCACCATCGATGTCCAGCCTCAAGGTTCCCACGCATGCTGCAGCGTCTGCGCTGCGCAACCTAGCAGCGAACCACAACCAAGCGCAACTGGCAATCGCCCAGGCGTGGCACATCAGGTCAAAAAGGCAGTCAGCTGGCATTCAGAGGTGAACAGGGGAGTCCTAGAATTCCTACAATTGAGTTGGCCAAAATGGCATGGTTTGAACAGCGGAACTGGCCAGAGAATCATACCCACGTGGACCCAAGGTATAACATTGGACATGATTGTTGGGTTTCGCCGGGCTCTCTTCGTTCGTGTCATGTGGAGAGGTTAAGAGGCAAGAAATTGTGGAGACGAGTAGGCTTGAGTGGGCCTGAACATTTTCCAGGCAGGCGCAATTGCGCCGCTGATACACCTTCTGGCCCACTCTGACCGGGGAGTTCAAGCACAGGCATCCGAGAAGTTTGCTCGGTCGGCTTGCCTTGATTGGCGTCTACCTAATTTGTAGCATGCCAAACCCTGAAGAGTTGAATGCGTTTGAGTATAGTAAAAGTTGAATCACAAGGAATATAATTAGTTTAAATCCAGCAACAGCAACACCCAGCAATCAAGGTGCTTTTTGAGTGCTATTCTGCTAGATTATATATATATAGTATATATATTATTCTGCTATTCTGTTGCCTTCTGAGTTTGCGTTGGGGGTTGACAATTGATTCCGCTTGCCTTGGACATGTGTGCCTTGCATGGCTGCAGGCAGCCAGTGCACTGGGCAACCTAGCAGGCGATAGCTCGCAGAACCACTTTGCCAAGCAGGCGAAACGCAGGAGTTAAGCAAGAATGGTTTCAAGTTGTACTGTACTATAATAACATTAAGCGAATGGGGCGCATAGAGTTTTTGAATATTGCACATTGTTGCACACCGTATGCCGGATGGTTTTGCGGCTGAAGGCCATAACCATGTCCTAGGACCCTCGTAGAACTGCGCAAATCGACTAATCGGCTCAGTTCTGAAACCATCTTCACAAAGGCTCGTTATTATAGCGATTTGACTAAAACTGATTTGACATTCGATATATAATATTTGCTGCATCTGTGTCGCTGATGAGCTGGCCAGGGTGGGTCAGTGGTAGTGCAGTTGATTTCTTTGCTGTCCCGGCCAGGTGACGATTGCTCAGGCAGGTGCTTTGAGTCCTCTAGTACGCCTCTTGACAACCGACAACGCAGAGGTGTGCCAAGCTAAGGTGAAGCAGCCAGTTGCTATTCAAAGTTGTGTCAATGTTGTTTAGTTCAGCATAGACATCTGTGAAAAAACACCATTTGAACGTCACAACTCGAGGCGTGAGGCTTCTGCCTCGGCGCTTCGGATGTTAGCCACCAACAATGCGGACAATCAGGCCGTCGATGTCGATGTCACCGGATCCAACAGATTTTCCGAAGTTGGCATCATTTTGGGCTCCTCTACTAGGAACAAGAAGCTACTAGTAACAAGTCCCTTACTAGTAGTAACAAGAAGCTACTAGTAACAAGTGCATCGCTTCTAGTAACAAGTGCCTTACTAGTAGTAGCAAGGACGCTACGAACGGGGCTCCTGGCCTTACTAATTACTAGGAGCAAGGACGCTACTTATCATGGTATAGGATTCCTGACTCGCGCACTGTAGCTTGGAC